TCTAGGCCCGAAACGTCAGCTTTCCTGCTCCTCTGATGCTGCTTGGCCTGCTGTGCTCATCCAGCTCTACACCTTGTTATGCGGGATTTATTGTTCATTCTTTACAATGAATGGCATTAAGCCAATTCAGAAGACACTAAGAGTTATTTGTAAACCAGACAAAGGTACAGGATTGTAGGCAAATTTCCTACTTTACATTTTTGTATAGGGATGCCAACAAACTCCCATGAAAAATACTTATTCTGCACACTGGAAATTTATATTTACACTGGAAATTTCTCCAAATTGACAACTGGTTTGAGCAGCTCATTTATTTTGTTTCTCAGTACATTTCAGATTTTAGAATATCCACACGTGCACTTGAACTGGAATGCTGATGGCATGCACACTTCCCTGAACGGAAACACTAATCCAATTTGGTTTTTAATGGCGGAAAAGCAAGATTAGTCTTTGGCAGCATAACTTATCAATTCTTTTTTCCACTGTACAGTGATAAGTCTACTGGAGTCCAACAAATTTGCAATTCAGTTGCAAATAACCACTGGCCTGACACCATTTTACCAAGTCTTCAATTATAGATATTTTTAATCAATACATTCAGGTATGCTGTGACACACCTCTGGACATGATCCAGCCCAACTGGCTCAGAGGCAGGGACGTTACCATTGCACTCCATTTGGTTATACCCTTTTCAACAACTTGTGTTTGACATTGTGTCTCCTACTGAATCATGAAATTGTTACAATGCTGATGGAAGCCATTCAGCCCATTCATGTCTACACCAACTCTCTGACCATGATTTGGGTGGTGAATCTGTGGAATTCTTTACTGCAGAGGGCTGTCAAGGCTGAGTCGTTAAAGGATATTCACGACTGAAACAGATCAGTAAGGGAATCAAGTTGCTGGAAAAGCTCAGTAAGTCTGGCAGCAACTGTGAAGAAAAAAATCAGAGTTAACATCAGTGACCCTTCCTCAGAACTGTAGCTGGGAAATCGTTGGTTTATTTGCAGAAAATAGGGAGGGGCATGGGGTAGGGAATAAACGTTAGGATTGACCCTGAAGAGAGAGAACAGCTGTTGGATAGACAACGGAGGTGATAACGAGGGAGTCTAGGAGGGTGAATAGTTGTTAGTGACTAACAATAGGTAGTGTGTAATGGCAGGCTATGTGATAACAAGTCCTGGTGTGTGGGGTAGGGGACTAGGACATGGGAGAGTTTAGGCCCTAAAATTATTGAACTCGATATTGAGTCTGGAGGGCTGCAGGGTCCCAAGCAAAAATGAGGTGTTGTTCTTCCAGCTTGTGTTGAGTTTCGCTGGAACACTGCAACAAGCCAAAGATAGAGATGTTGGCCAGGGAACAGGGTATTGTGTTAAGCGGTAGGCAACAGATCAGGGTCTTTTTTGCAAGCAGAACGTAGATGTTCTGCGAAGCGGTCACCCAGTCTGCGCTTCATTTCCCCAATGTACAGGAGACCACATTGTGAGCAGCAAATGCAGTAGACTAGATTCTGGGAAGTGCAGGTGAAGTGTTGATTCATCTGGAAGGTATGTTTGGGTCCTTGGATAGGGGGAGGGAGGAGGTAAGTGGGCAGGTGTTGCACCTTCGCCGGTTGCAGGGGAAGGTGCCATGCTGCTGTGTGTGTGTGTGTGTGTGTGTGTGGAGGGGGGGGAATGTTGGGAGTGAAGGATGAGTGAACCAGGGTGTCCAAGAGGGAACAGTTCCTGCGGAAGGCAAACAAAGGAGGGGAGGGGAATATGTGTCTGGTGGTGGCATCTCGCTGGAGGCGGTGTCTGATGATCTTCTGGATGTGGATGCTGGTGGGATGGTAGGTAAGGACAAGGGGAACCCGATCACTGTTGCAGGAGCGAAGAGAAGGGGTGAGGGTGGAAGTGCAGGAGATGGGTCGGACCCGGTTGAGGGACCTGTTGAAAATGGTGTTGGGGAATCCTCGGTTGAGGTAGAAGGTGGATATTTCAGAGGCTCCCTTGCTGAATTTGGTCTCATTGAACATATGCAATGGAGACAGAAGAACTGAATGGGATGAAGTCTTTACAGGAAGCAGGGTGTGAGGATGTATCATTCAGGTAGCTGTGGGAGTCAGTGGGTTTATAGTGGATATTAGTGACCAGTCTATCCACAGAAATGTCAAGGAAAGGAAGGGACGAGTCAAAGATAGACCAGGTGAAAGTGAGGGCAGGTTGGAAATTGGAAGCAAAATCAATGAACATTTCCAATTCCGGATGAGAGAGGGAAGCAGCACCATTGATATCATTGATATATCATTGAGAAAGAGTTGTGGGTGGCGGCCGGAACAGAACTGGAACAAGGAATATTCCACGTACCCCACGAAGAGACAGCCATAACTGGGGCCCATGCGGGTACCCATGGCCACCCCTCTGACCTGAAGAAAATGAGGGGAGTTAAAAGAGAGGTTGTTGAGAGTGAGGATGAGCTCAGCCAAGCAGTGGAGTGTGGTGGTGGGTGGGGATGGTTCAGGCCTTTGGTCCAGGAGGCAGTGGAGAGCCCTGAGACCATCCTGGTGGGGAATGGATGTGTTAAGGGATTGCACGTCCATGGTAAAGAGGAGGCATCTGGAACCTGCAAACTGGAAGTTTTAAAACTGGCGTAAGGCATGAAAGAAATCATGGATGTATGTGGCCAGGGACTGGACCAGGGGAAAGAAGACTGAGTCAAAGTAGGAAGAGATGAGTTCTGTAAATGGAAACAAAAGATGTCAACGAAGGGAGAGGAGTCAGAGATAGACCAGGTGAAAGATCAATTCGGGAATCAGTGGGGAAAAAGTCAAGAAAGGGAGTTGAGGATTATCAGATCAGCCATGATCTCATTGAACGGCGATGCAGATGCAAAGGCCTACTTCTGCGCCCATATCTCACAGTCTTAAAACATAATTAATTATATAAAAGGCATGTTATTCGTGCTGTTTGGTACAGATGAAACCCCGAAGCAAGTCGGACTCCTGTTACAACGTCAAAGAGGTAATCATCTCAACCACCGACGCCCGTTAGTCCGCTGCAGAAATCAGTGCAAGGCGATCCCTGCAGAAACCAAAGACCGGATCCATCAGGACGGCCAGTTGCGGCTACCTGGCTCTGGAGTTCGTTGGCGGTCAGCTGCACCGACAGCAAGGGCCCCTTCCGTAAAGCCATGGTTCAGGGACGGTGACTCACTGCGGGGCCCCGCCAGCAGCAGTCAGTCAATCAATCAATCGGCGGCCGTTTAACGGCCGTCCTTCTCCTCCCTCGCGGACACGGCCGTCGCCATGGCAGCAGTGCTCGTGCCCGCAATGCGGCGTCAGAGACGCGTCCCCGGGAAATGTCAGAACCCCGCCCACAGTACCACAGCGCAATGTGTGCCCTCTGCATCTCCTAATAGCGGCGTTCATGCGACTTTCTCCATGTCAATAGTGTGCAATTTCCAAGATTGATCTGCTTTTGGGAAGCATGTCATATGGAGACATGCTCCAACTCAAACTCAATCTCAATGTACAACATTCTAGTCATGCGGTGCTCACATGCATTGTTCTCAACTGGTCTCAGACAGAAGTATGTGCTTTCCTCATTGAATCTGTCACAGGTGTCTCTGAGATCTTTCTGGATTACAAAAGAAATTTGGTGGTTGCTATTTTGAACCTCAGAAGACAGGGGTAAATACCTGCTTGTTAGGCAATGAAATTGAAGGTTATCAGGAGGAAATGAAAATGTGGAATTCGGAACATAAATAGATCAGCCGTGATTTCACAGAATTGTCAGATGGACTACTTCTCCAATTTCATACGCATGTTTGTCATCACGGTGGATTTATTGTACAAAAAAAGTGCACGTGATTTACTTTCTACTTTTAATATTTTAGCTTTGACTTCATCAAAGTTCATTTGTATGCAAATGAAGAGCTTGAGAGAGAGTGAAAGAAACAGAATCCTGTTAAAAATTAAAAGTAGCCAAGATCTTAGAAAAACTGCAAATGCTGGAGAATCTGAGATGACAAGATGTAGAGCTGGATGAATACAGCAGGCCAAGCAGCATCAAAGGAGCGGGAAGGCTGACGTTTCAGGCCTAGACCCTTCATCTAGGCCCGAAACGTCAGCCTTCCCGCTCCTCTGATGCTGCTTGGCCTGCCGTGTTCATCCAGCTCTACACCTTGTTATCTAACATGAAGGGTATGCAGGTTACTTTTGATCTTAGAGTAGGATAATAGGGCGGCACAACATTGTGGGCCGAAGGGCCTGTACTGTGCTATGTTCATTACTTAGTTCAGAAAGAGACAAAGTGCATCTGCAAAAAACTGCAGCTGGTACAAATAATCAACCTTTATTAAAACAGGTATTGCAGGAAAAAAAAACACAGCATTGTATTGTTAACAAACTGGTGCGATTTCTTCACATTGGTTAGTATTCCACACAGTAAAAATCACAGTCCTGTTAATACTTTGCAATGAAAATTCCGAACACAAACTCCACGTAAACCCATTGCTTATGACAATGAAATATGTATACCTGTGTAAATTGACTTAAAAAGAGATATAAAAGGAATAACCGTTGCATGTTTTGCACTAAGGAGAAACTTGGAGCTCGTCACTCCAAATTTATGCTAAAATGCTTGGTATGGCTGGAATTACACTAGTAGTGCCTGCAATATGCCCCACTTATGCAAGACAATATTGTAGTCATTTCACTCCATCATGACAATGCTGATTCTAGCTCCATATGGAGTCATCTTCTCCAATCTCATTTTATGCTTTTTCTGTGTATAATTTTTAGATTTTTATTTGTTTTTCAGTTGCCTATCTAATTTCCTCTTAAAATGGTGTGGTTGACTGAACCCCTAATACCCACTTTATGCTTATAGAGCTAATTCTATGTTTATGCACCCCTCACTACTAAAACACTACCAAATTAAAATGTTTATTTACTGCCCCCCCCGACAAAAAATGTTCTTTTCCACAGTTCATCATTAGTCAGCATCTTTCCCAAAAGTAAACAGACTTTCAAAATCAGCTGAATTGGAGTGCTTTTAGTTCAGGACAATCTAAAGATCTCCTCAAAATCAGTGTAAGAAAAAAAAGTGTTACCCTTCAAGACATTCCAATATTCATCCTTGAAATGATGAAAAGCACAACTGTTATAAGAGGGGAAAAATATTTTGAAACTCACACTGAAATAATAGCTTGCCATTACTTGTTCCTATCCCTACAGCAGTTGCAATTGAAACATCTCATTTAAAACGTAGATACAAATTACCCTTATATCAATAGATTTTTTGCACATTAAATAGGAGCAAGGAGCAAATCTGCTTCTTCGGCATAGTCAAAGACATTCAAAACAAAAACAGCTTTCTGTGTAAGCAATTCCTGAATCAGAGTTCAAAACAGAAGAGTCTTTTCTACAGCTGCTGCTTCACTTGATTGCTTCAGAAAACAGATTCTACCAGTATTTTCACAGTCACTATTGGCATCTCAGGTCCTTACTTCTGCATGTTATTGGCCTGTTTGTCTAGAGAAAAGAAACCGTAAAAAGAGAATTACAATTAGCAATATAATTAAATAAAGATGCAATCTTCAGCATAATGAACTCTCTGCTCTGCCAAAGATTAATTTTAAACCTGCTTTTCAAAAATAGTCTTTAATTATAGAGTGTTTTAATTACCTATTACTGTCCAGTAATATTATTTTTAAAAGTACTCCCAAGCCTAGAAAATTATATCTTCTGCATTAAGTTGAAATAGTTGATTTTGAGAGGTTGATGAAATGTGATATGGATTGGAACTGCAAGTTACTTGTCAGATTTATGGCTCAAAGAGTACTGGGTGGTGTAAAGGAGAAGCAAAAATAAAAGACAAAGGAATGCATTAAAAATGGTGCAGGAATGTGGAGGTTTGCAGATAAAATAAAAGTGTTTTCTCTTAAAATCATGTTGACCCATAAAAACCAGACAGACATGGAAGCTTCAATAGTGTTTATTTATGCTTATTGCAAGGGAGCTGCACTCTTCCAACAGGGGAAATGCATCTTCCCCAAGCTGTTACAGAACATTTATGTACATGAGCATTACATTATTTGAATGTCTCAATAATAATACATGATTCCACTCATCCACATCATGGTCAAATTCCACTTACGACATTTGAATAATAAAATTAATATTAGAGCATGTGTATAGGAAGGGGAGGGGGGAAGGAGTAAATAGATCGCCAATTGCTATGTCTTAACCTAAAAATGCTCCTTTTGGGTCAGGGGCCTCATCCCATGCCCAACCCTCCCTCTCATCCCCGCCTCCTTGACCTGACACAACTTTACCATCTTTTCTCCCACTTCACTGACCCATCCCTACCACTCCCTACTTGCACTCACCTATCACCATCCCACCTATCTTCCCCAGCCCCACCCCTCCTCTCTCTATTTATTTCTGAGCTCCCTTCCCCCTCCCCCATTTCTGAAGAAGGGGCCTGACCCAAAATGTCAATTTTCCTACTCCTCTGATGCTGCCTGGCCCAAAATGTCAATTTTCCTACTCCTCTGATGCTGCCTGGCCTGCTGTGTTCCTCCAGCCCCACACTGTTATCTCAGCATCCAGCATCAGCAGTTCTTACAATCTCTTACTGGGTCATATCTGCTTATTTCTCCAGTACAATGGATTAATGTCTTAGGGTAGCATATCTTTCCTTCTTCTCGTGGAAAGGAGCCATTTGTTTTAAACCTTTTGCTTTTATCTTGTCCTGTCTGTTCTGCTAACATGTCTGACTCCAAGCAAACGTAATATGCTGGGTTCATTAAATTATTTTTCCTAAGTGACGTTACTTGGTCCAAATACTATCCTAAGATTTAAACTTTTATTTTAACTGTTTTTCCCCTTTCAGGCACATTACGTAAACTAAGAATTGTAGTGGGGTTGGTGGGGGGTGGGGGGGGGGGCTTGGTCTTGGTCTGGGTGGGATGCTGTTTGGAGGGTCAATGCACACTTGATGGGCCTAATGGCCTCCTTCTGCACTGTAGGGATTCTATGGTGGCGGAGTCCAGAATTAGGGCCATAGTTTAAGGATAAGAGGTAAACCTTTTAGGACTGAGATGAGGAGAAACGTCTTCACCCAGAGAGTGATGGGCAGTGGAATTCACCAGCACAGAATGTGGTTGAGTCCAAAGCATTGTGTTTTCAAGGAGGTATGTATAGCTCTTGTGGCTAAAGGGATATTGGAGAGGGAGAGGTTAGGGTACTGAGCTCAAATGATCAGCCATGATCATATGAATAGTGGAGCAATGCTTCAAATGACCTACTTCTACTCTTTATGTTTCTATTAAATTTCAGAAGTATTCGGAACCCTCATAATTCTCAGAAGATATTTTCTCCCACTGGAAGAATATATTTTACTTGCTTAGGGCTTTGAGATGACACTTAAGTGTTAATGGATTTTTATTCTAAGATTGATAAATATTAAAGATTTCTAACAATGATATTAAACGGGATTGTACTGGATTTGGCATTACATCGTTTGACAGATTTTCAGCAGTTATCCACAAATTGGTTGTTAATTTGTGAATAAAATTGTAAAATTGCTAAAATCTCAATTTTTTCCTGTAAAATGAATTCTATTCTCCTTAAGTGGGGAAATATATTCTGAACAGAGAAATCGTAAACCAGTAAAATATCTGGGACATTTATGCATAGCTAAGGCTTATTAAACTAAATAGGCTCTCTGGAGGAAGGTAGCATTCTTGGGTAATTTCTTCCCTTGTAGAATTATTATGATAATACTAAAGATCTAAGACTAAGCAGTTGTGCAGGTTGAATACCTTGAACTCAGTGGATAGTTATCAAGGTACTACTCCTGATCTAAATTTGCTCTAAGGAAGAGTTAAAAGCTGTAAACTTCCATTATGTGGGGTCGGAGGAAGAGAGTAACTTTTATAATTTTGAAAAATCTGGCCTATGCATACAGGCAAACAAAGCAACATTTTATCCATCCCCTACTGTCCTGAGTGTGTTACTGGTCAGAGTGGAAGTGGTTTCATAGAATCCCTACAGTGTGGAATTAGGCCCCTTGCCCAACAAGTCCACTCCGACCCTCAGAATCCCACCCAGACCCATCCCCCTACCCTTTCCCTGTAACCCATCTAAATGTACATGCCTGAATACTATGGGCAATTTAGCATGGCCAATCTACCTAAACTGCACATCTTTGGATTGTGGGAGGAAACTGGAGCACCCAGCGGAAACCCACGCAGACACAGGGAGAATGTGCAAACTCCACATAGACAATCGCCCAAAGGTAGAATCAAACCCAGGTCCCTGGCACTGTGAGGAAGCAGTGCTAACCACTGTGCCACTCTTTGGGAAATCAGAATGAAGTCTTTGCCAGTCTCATTCAATAGATATATATAGTCAGAGTATTACAGCATGGAAACAGACCCTTCAGTCCAACTTATCCATGCCAACCAGGTTTCCCAAACTAAACTAGTCCCATTTGCCTGCATTTGGCCCAAATCACACTGAACCCTTCCTATTCATGTACCTGTCCAATTGTCTTTTAAATCTTGTAATTGTACTCACCCCCACCACTTCCTCGGACAGGTCATTCCCTATACACACCATCCCCGTATGAAAACGTTGCACCTCAGGTCCCTTTTAAACCTTTCCCCTCTTACCTTAAACATATGCCCTCTAGTTTTGAACTCCACTACCCTAAGGAAAAGACCTTTGCTATTCACCTTGTTTATGTCTCAGTTTTATAAACCTCTATAAATATCACCTCTAAACCTCCTACGCTCCAGAGAAAAAGTCCCAGCCTATCCAGTCTCTCTTTATAGTTTATGGATAAGAGGTAAACCTTTTAGGACTGAGACTTATAACAAAAACCCTCCAGTAACATCCTGGTAAATCTTTTCTGCACCCTTTCCAATGGAGTTTGATATATCAGCTTGATTTCCTTGGGAGCACTGCTCAACCAGTTGGATTTTTCCATTAGTCAGATTTCTGGTGTTATCCACAAATATAAAATATCATCCAAGGCATCACACATAATCAACAAAATTAAGGTACAGTAAATCATTCATGATAAAAAACATGACAGCCAATTTCTACCAAAGGCCTAACAACCAGAATGTATCCGTTCTTGGTGGAATTAAGGAATATTAACGAGACATCTGGAAGAGTCTCCCCTCAGCACACTACACACACACAAAAAGCATTTCACTCATAGACAACTCAGAGAGAGTAAGAACTGCAGATGCTGGAGTCAGAGATAACAGTGTGGAGCTGGAGGAACACAGCAGGCCAGGCAGCAGAGGGTCAACGTCAACTTTCCTGCTCCTCTGATGCTGCCTGGCTTGCTGTGTTCCTCCAGCTCCACACTGTTATCTCACTCATAGGCAATGTTTACACCTCAGTGGTTAGGCTGTAGGGAGACAACTTGGCAAGTATCCTCACTGCAACAACACATTCAAATATTACATTTTTAACAGCGCACTGCTTTGGTGCTTTCAGTCCGGATTAGGTGCTCAAGGCCATCACTGAGCTCAACCTCTCAAACTTATTACTCCAGTGGCACTTAGACAAATGTTTTTTCCCAGTTCTTCCATTATACACACACACACACACGTACATGTAAATCTACGGGCTGAATTTGCATTTACAGATACACTATTTTGTTCAAAAAGCACACAATTTGTGGACACAGTCAATCAGTGGGGCATTTCTAAATTCCAGCTTTGGAAATAAAACCAATCTGACTCCACGTTAACACAGTTTCTAAAAAGGCGTCACACCAAAAGGCATTGACTGACCTGAATGTCATGTCTTGTATTTACTGATAAAACCTTTAGTTATCTCAGGTCATTGACTTGAAAGAAATTTGGAAGTTGCACATTAATCAATCGAAATCTGCATCTCCTTTCTAACTGATTAAGGATTTGACAGGAGGGAGTCAGTCAGCCAGCCAATTTAGGGTTATTAAATACATTCACATCAGTTGTATAATCATTTTGCTTATAAATTCTGAGTCTTGATACTTCCTCTCTCATTACACCCAAGGAAGGGGCAACCTCCTAAAGTTCAAATAAACCTGTCGACTAGAATCTGGTGTCATGTGATTTTTGACCCTGTCCAATTCAGTCCAACAACTGCACTTCCACATTATGAGATACTGAGCAGCCTTGGTGCCTTTTGAATACGAGGAAGATAGTGTTTCAACTCAATGTAGAATCGCTCCTCCAATACTGGATCTCCTTAACTGTTTTTACAATGCCATATGAATTACATTAGTTAGTATCATTGTATGTACATCTTCCTTTCACAAATATTAACATGCAAAGGCCCTGTTTTCAGTAGCAGTTGAACAGTTCAGCAAACAGCAAATTTAACTTTTAAACAAGTTTATGTTTCTAATTGTAAGACCACAGAGACAGTCTGTAATTGCAGCAACAAGTGTTTGCGGAGACAAGCGCACAAAAAGATTCCCAAATGATCTGCTCACGTGACATAGTAAAAGGCGAATTCTGCTTCTTACTCCCAGCGGATTGAGGCGCCCTTCACTGTCCCCTACTTAAGCTAAATCCAGTTTCTTCTGCGTCTCGATCAGTTTCGACTGCAGCCGCTTTTTCCTCCAATCCAGGAACCTCCTCCTCAGGATGTTTGCCTGCCAGCCGATAATGACCCCCGAAGTGAAAGACAGAACCACGGCAAGTTGCAAAACTCTCTCGGACACTTCAGCCATGTTCACCCGAGCGTGGTGAAGGGGAGGATGTGCGCGTGCGCTATCCGGGCCACGTTCCAGATCAGCTGAGAACAGGAAGTATCAAAAGAAAAGTTACATTCAGCCTCCGTAAGAACGCAACAAATGCTCGTCTGAATATAGCAAACTAATTCTTATTCACCTTTTATAAAGTTTGGGTTCCCTCGGGGTTGTTTTTTTTTATTTGGGTGGGCTTTGTCCCCAGTAATGGTTGCGCGATGGCTCCAAGAATCATTTCAATGATTCAATTTAGAAAGGGCAGCTGGGTGTCTGTGTCGGTAAGGATAAGATGGGCCGAATGACACCCCTCCTGTGCCGTATCACTTCTATGGTTCTAATCAGGAGGTCCATCTGTTACCTGGCGAAGGAGGGATGGGAGAACAAGAAAGGAGACTTACTACGGGCTGGGGAAGTGGGGTTGAGCCCTCGGCCCCACACGTTATTGCACAAAAACCTGTCAATTACTTCACTGAACTCTCGACTTCTGAGAATCCCAATCACCAAGCATGAACAAGACCCAACGCTCTGGTCACCTCATAATTGCACTTAAAGTGGGTAAGATTCCAGGATAGGCAAAATTTAAAAGACCCCAAGCTTCCCAAGTTCTGTCTGACCAAATTACAATTTGAATATTTGATAGTTTGTATATTCCCAAAAAAGGGAAAGTTAGCGCAGGCCAAATGGTGAGCTCCCTAAATGATGAAATATAAAGATTAAAATGAAAGTGATAAAGTGTGCTTGTGATGTCAGGTGTTGAATGTTCAGAGGGTAAGTGTAAAGCAAGTTAGCAAAGCAGAGACAAAGTATAAGAGATTAGCAGTTAAGTGGAATCCAAAAACCTTCTACAGGGAAATAAAAGTTAAAAGGAAGAATGGATTTGGACGGTGCTGTCCAAAGAGCATTTGAATTTATACAATGCCTCTTGTAGATAAAGTCAGAAGTCACACAATACCAGATTATAGACCAACAGGTTTATTTGAAATCACAAGCTTTAGGAGGATAGCCAGCACAGACACACAGTCTGAAAGGTTACAGTACAGAAGGCAGCCATTCTATAATTGTCTAACCCACTAGCCGGAATCCCTTAATATTCTACAAAGTGGAATCAGGCTACACAGTCAATACCATTTTCAACAGACTTCACCTTTCTCACTATGCCTTTTGTGTCTTATTTGAACTTAGGCTCTTTGTGAAAACTTGAAACTGGGAACCACAGCCACAGCTAAATTTTATTTGGACTTCGTGCATTGAGACCATTATCTTTTGGATTAAACACTAAACTTTGGCCTTGTGTGTCCTATCATTCAGACAGAAAAGTCCTGGGGAACTGTTCAAATAAGGGGAGGAGAATTCTCCCAAATGTCTTCGAGAATATTCAGCCCTCGAACAACCTCGCTAAAACAGTTTGTAGAGTCAGAGAGTTTTTATAGCACGGAAAGAGGCCCTTTGATTCATCATTAGCTGATTATTATCTCATTGCTGTTTGTGGGACCTTACTATGTACAAATTGTATTTGCTTTTCTGATGTTTGAAACAATGATTACAATTCACTGGCATTTCATTGGCTGTAAAGTGCTGAGGTCATTAAATGTGGGATCCAAATATAAGAGATTTTTTCTTTCTAAATTATAGAAGGACATTCAGCCACCCTGCCAGTCTGTTATACTGTAACTTCATTTGCAACAGGTTGCCTTCCAGTCTTCATTTCCAAATAATTATATCAGTACTACCTTTTTAGTCATTTATAATGCAGCATCCTTCCTTCTCCCTTAAACTTTGTTTGTACAATGAGAACTGTGATACAAGGGTTTCAGATTCACCCACCAGAGGAAGCAACTTTTCAATATTTACCCAGAATAAAGTTCTCAAATTTCATTTGTCCATTTAATGGTTGCACCTCTCCTTTCAGTATTTCATGTCATGTTAACTGGAGTCCAAATTTCAAGGCATTCAGGTTTCAAAGTTGCTACTGTGGTTTGGCACAAATTCCAATGCTAAAAACAACAACCTAAAAATTGGCCTATTCAGCCATCAACATATAAAGACACCCTATTTGAAGTGGATTTGCTTGCTGTTTGTTAATCACCTTTTGTAGATGGATAACAAAGATGAATCTTACTATCTTCATTAGTTTGTAATTCTAAATTCCATCAGAGTGGCAAAACTATAGAAAGACATCATGGCTTATGGTTAGTGAAAAATCATCACATGATGGTGCAGAAGTTGGCAGCATATTTATTTTCAAGCAAGTTGTGGGGCAACATGTTGACTCTTTCTAGCATGTGAAATTTTAAACAAACGTGGGAGACATATAATATATTCCTAGCGGGAAAGCACTTCTGGAAAGAGGGCATATGTCAATGTTGGGCAAGGATTTTTCAGCAAAGATTTGATTTTTCTAAGTACGATCAACTATTCCCAGTTAAAGAGCTTGCTGCAACCACTCTGAATGCTCACCAAAAAAAAGCAGCAAAACCATCTTTCAGTATGATTCAATGAGACTAATTTCTGATGAAGAATCATTGTGGCCTTTAAAGTTAGCTTTTTTTTGCTGCAGATTCTGTCTAAACTGCTGACTATTTCCAGCTTTTCTATTTTTTTCTGGGCTTGGCATTTGCCCCCTTTCTTCCTTAAAGTTGATATCAGGAATTTTGGTGTGATAAATAAGTTGACAGCAAGAACATTATGTTGTGGCCAATTAGAAAGATTTATTAAAAATGGCTATGTAAAAGGTGATAGTTAACAGTTTGACAGATTATACTTCCCTGTTTTGGCTATGGATAATAAAGAGTACAAAACAGTAAAGCATTCCAACATTTTGAGCCAGTGACAGTGAAGGAATATTGACAGACTTGGAGAGGAACTTGCAGGTGGTGATGTTCCCATATATTTGTTACCCTAATACCTTCAATGGTGTTATCATGGGTTTGGAAGGTGCTGTCTAAGGAGTATTGGTCATAGAGTCATAGAGTAATACAACATGGAAACAGGCCCTTCAGCCCAAACTGGTCCACGCTGACCATGATGCCCACTCAGCTAGTTCCAATTGCCTGCATTTGGTCTGTATCCCTCTAAACCCTTCCATCCATGTACCTATCCAAATGTTTTTTAATGTACCTACCTCAACCACTTTCTCTATAGCCTATTCCAAATACGCACAACTCTGTGTGAAGAAGTTGCCCCTCAGATCCTTCTTAAATCTTTCCCCTCTCACCTTAAACCTATGCCTTCTAGTTTTCAATTCCCCAGCCCTACGCATTCATCCTATCTATGCCCCTCATGATTTTATACACCTCAATAAGGTCACCCCTCATTCTCCCATGTTCCAAGGAATAAAGTCCTTTCTCATTCAACCTCTCCCTAGAACTTAGGCACACTAGTCCTGGCAACATCCTCATAAATCCTCTTTGCACACTTTCCAGTTTAACAATGTATTGGTGGAGTGCAATTTGTAGATAGAACACACTACTGCTCTTGTGCTTCGGTGGTGGTGGAGGAAGTGAAAAATGTTTGTGAATGTGGTGTCAGTCAAGTAGTCTACTTTGTTTTTGATGGTATGAAGCTTCATGAGTGTTGTTGGGTTTGTTATATGAGGAGCATTTGAGAACTCTGGATTTATGCTCATAGAATTTGAAAGGATAAGGGGGAAGAGAGGCCCAGATAGTGTGGACATGGAAAAGATGTTTCCACTAGGAGTGGAGGGCACGTTCTCAGAGTTAAGGGAGATGGGGAGAAATTTATTCAGACAGAGGGTGTTGAATCTGTGGAACTCATTGCTACAGAACGCCATGGGGTCAAAGTCATTGAGTGTATGTAAGACATAGTTAGATAGGTTCTTCATTAGTAAGGTTCTGGTCACCATATTATGGGAAGGATGTGATTACACTCAAGAGGGTGCAGAAGAGATTTACCAGGATATCCCTGGACTGGAAAATCTGTGCCATAAATCAAGATTAGGCAGGCTGTATTGTTTGCCTTGGAACAATGAAGTTTGAGAGGGAACCTGACAAGGTGGATTAGATTATATGTGGCAGAGATGGGTTGGATAGGAAAGCATGTTTTCTATTAGTCAATGACTAGCAGGAACAGATTTAAGATAAGTGATAGAAGGCTAAGAGGAGAGCTGAGGAAATTCCTTTCACTCAGAGTGTGGTTGGAGTCTGGCATTCACTGACCAACGTTTGAAACAGAAACTTGCATAACATTTAAATCCCTCTTGACTGCATAGCATCTGTTAGATCTGACCTGCCAATGGAATAGGATATCCTTAGTGATATTGTATCTGGGTTCTATGTGCTCCACATACAATATACCCTATGCTGTGTGTGGCTAGGAAAAGGAAAAAAAAATCCCGATTGGCGCTGTCATTTATATCCTGTATCATCAGTCACCTCTAATTCAATTCTACCCACCCCGTGGCTGTATTATACCGCTTACCAAATTCATGAACCTTGGTGCAACGTTACTCCCCAGTATCAGGGAATTATTATCAGTAAATAAAGGTTCCAATTTAACCCAAGCCATTCGTACTATTGAGGAAGGGTCACCGGACCCAAAACGTTAACTCTGATCTTTTCCTTCACAGATACTGCCAGACCTGCTGAGCTTTTCCAGCAACTTCTGTTTTTGTTCAATTCCTACCACTGCTTCCGTTCTACGTGAACATATCTAGACTGGCTGTTTACAATACCCCAGCTCAGTGTATCGGTTAAATGGAGTGGGAGGGATAGGTCGGTGCAGACTCGATAGATCGAAAGGCCTCTTCTGTGCTGTTCGACCCTATGACTCTCCAGGTCCAGGAATTGTGAAGATGCTGCTCCCAGGCGATCCTTTTGGTATCTTCTAAGTCAATATCTGCATAAGAATGTCAGTAAAAGAAAGAGAACGATGAATAATTAACATTTCAAATGTAAAGAGAACGGTAGAATTCCTGAACTCATCCAATAAAAGTAAAAATGAGATAACAGGGTGCATAGCTGGATGAACACAGCAGGCCGAGCAGGAGAGCTGACGT